TGATGGTTCCGTGGTAGAATTCTCACCATCCATGTGGGAGACCTAGGTTCGGTTCTCAGAAAATGCTCCTCTTGTGTAGTTACCATGTGTCAGTAGCAAAGTGTTTGTTGCTGTGATGTTGCTTAGCTTCCATGCTAAGATGGCCTAGGAAGAATGGCCAAGTGATCTACATTTGAAAGCCCGCTAATGAGAGCCCAGTGGATCACAAAAGTCTCCAGTGAAAACCCAGTAGATCAGGACAGGACGAGGCAGGAATGGGCAGCTAAAAACAACAACAGTCAGAAAGAAACAACTTGAGTTATCGAGTGATGGAGAACAGAGTCAGGGTTCCCAATTCCCATGAGTCCCCACTGACCCTGTAATTAATTTCTTCTTCCACATCATGGCTAGTAGTCTTTCTTATCAATGTTCTTGCACTTCACAACAAGGTTCATTTTGATTCATATTCTCACTGTCTGTTTCCTTCCCCACTTTTTGTGGGGATGGCAGCCCCTTCTCTTGCTTCTCATGTAATCTATCACCATTTACTTTATTATAAACTCGATTTCTAGAATATAAAAGTGCGTGTTAGTTCTTTCTATCAACTACACAGCAGTCATAGTTGGAACTGTATTTATCTGAAACCATATCATTGCTGTTAGTTGTCCTCAAGTTGATGCCAACTCATGGCGACCTGTGTATGCAGAGTAGAGCTGTCCTCAGGGTTTCCGAGGCTCTGGTCTTCAGGAAGCAGATCATGAGGTCTGTCTGTTGAGGTGATATTGGGTGTGTTCAACCACAAGCCTTTCGGCTAGTAGTTGAGTGCTTGATGTCTTTAAAAATATGGTCTTGCTTAGTGTGAGCCAGTTGTGTCAATGAAGCTTGGTAAATAGCAACTCCCCATCTTCAGCAGTAGCTCCAAATGCTCACCTGCACGAGCTCAGAGGCTGCCATCATCAAGTCGACCCTGCCTAATAGCAAGCCCCGGCACAGTGGGGCAAAATGCTGCCTGGTCCTGGTCCATTCACATGTTCAGTTGCGTATTGGATTGGCTGCTTTTCAGAAGTAGACCAGCAGGCTTTTCTTCCTAGTTCTTCTTCATCTGGAAGCTCAGCTGAAATCTTTTCAGCATCATAGCAATACACAAGCCTCCACTGACAGGTGATGGTGGGGCATGAGGAGCATTAGCTGAGAATTGAGCCAGGGTCCTTCTGCTTGGAAGACGAGAGTTCTACCACTGAACCAAACCCTTACTGGGTCTTGATTCTAGAAGATTCCCGCCAAATTCTGCCCCTCTGATATAACTTTGTCTTCTGCTGCTTTGGGGACCAGGGCTGCTTTTCCCACAGTGCTGTTCAGAATGTCCATGTTATTTCTGGATAAGCATTTTCTACAAGCTTCCAGAACAGAATTTATGTCTTTTCACATCTTCACTTCAAAGCTTTGGACTTACAATCCCCTCTTGCTGTTTTCCATGAACACCCCCTGTCTCTGTGCTCACAGTTAGCACAGGAATAGGGGGTAATTTGTCAGTAGGGGGTGACACATACATGTTGGAGAGAGCTCTCAAGATGGCCGGCTGAAGGCAGCCCCCCACAGGCTCTTGTACACAGCTGAGTAAACGACTTTTAGCTGTACCTAGTGTTTTAAGCTTGGAAAAGATGACAGTAGAGTTCCCTTCCAATTCTAAACAGTCATGTAAACAGGAAAATTGTTTGCTTCCCCACTGGAGAATCTAAAATTTTGATCTAGGATGTATACTCGTCTCACAAATATCTAGTGAAATAGAGATGAGTTTCATTCCTTTGTCAAAGGTTGCTTTTTATAATAATCTCAAAAGGCATTATTTCATAATGGAAAAGGCTATGTATGACTCAAAAGCCAAATCTTCAGTCTTCCACTTACTAGCCTTTGGTCTTAGTTGACTGACTGTCAGAACCTCAGGTTCCTCATCTGTAGAATAGGGTAAGGATATTTAGCTTTTAGGGTTGTTTTAGCAAGATATTTGAAAGCAGTTTGTAATTTATTTAAGTGTATACCAGTATTGGGCTAATGCTCTGGATTGCAAAGTTAGTTTGAACTATGAGATAGGCAGTTCAAGCTTGCCAGCTGCTCAGTGGAAACTCTATACAGAGTTGCTGTGGGTTGAAACCTACTCAACAGCACTTAACAACAACAACAAAGTATTGGATAGTACAAATGGTTAAGTGCTGGATTACTAACCAAAAGGCTGACAGTTCAAACTATACCCAAAGGCACCTCAGAAGAAAGGTCTGGTGATCTGCATCTAAAGTATCACAAAACCATATGGAGTGGAGCTGTTCAAGTCTGCACACATCTGGGGCCATGAGGCCTCGTCTACTCAACTGCAACTGGTTTGCCTTTTTTCATTTTTTTAAGAACATGAAGCTCATCCTACCAAATAACTCTAATAATGTCTCTATCTCTATAAGGTATTGCAGCAAAAATATTTTCAGGGAGTTGAATCTTTTCAGAGAATGCCACCACCACTGCCACCTCTACCTCCAGCCCCTGGCGGTGGGAGTCCCCAGCCAGCTCATGCCAGCAGCTCTGGAGTATCAGCTCAGATTCAGAGTGGCCTTGAGCCACACGCAAGATAGCCTTCTGCTAACATAATGTGCGAGGGAGCAGAAAGAGGTGGTCACTCCATTTTCCCACACCCTAGAGTTACAGTTGTTGAAAACTCTGTGACTCTATAGGATCCTCACTGGATTGCTAATCACAAGGTTAGTGGTTCAAACCCTATACAGGATCATTGTGAGTCAGAACGGACTCGAAGGCACTTAACAACAACAATGACAAATACAAAAACTATTCCCTATAGGCCAACAGACTCTTGGTGTGGTGCTGTAGAATCAACACTGGACTGCTAACCAGAAGGTCAACAGTTCAAACCTACCAGCTGCTCCTCGTAAATCCTATAGAGGGCCGCTCTGAGTCAGAACCAACTCGACTCAACAGCACTTAACAGCAGTAGTTCAATGGAAGGAATCGTAGCCATGAGTTTTCCTCATTGAACCCGGTCATGCCTCATGACTGTACTGGGATCAACTGTGAAACCCCTCAGCATACATCCATAGTTACAGAGTCCACACAAAGGAGTCAGGGGCAGGAATTAAGAGGAAAGAACTGACAATCACTAAGAAATGGGATGTGGTTTTCTGTTCCTCCATATTTCACTGGAACAAAGACACAGAGATTTTCAGATCCTGATTGAAAAATCAAAGCAAAACAAAGAAAACAACACCTAACTTTGCTAACAGTTTGTTGTTGTTGGCAGGTGCCATCAAGTCAACTTGACTATTTGTTGTTGTTGTTAAGTGTCCTGGAGTTGGGGCTGACTCACAGTGACCCTGTAGGGTTTCCGAGGAGCAATTGGTGGGTTTGAACCACCGACATTTTGGTTAGTGGTCCAGTGCTTATCTTACAGTGCCTCCCCAGGACTCCACCTAATATATAAAAGAACAAAATATTACCTGGTCCCGCACCATTTTCAGGTTTGTCAATATGTTTGAATTTATTTCCCTCATTTGCATTGACCCTCTACTTTACCAAACATGGGTCCTTTTTTAACGATGGGCCTTCCCCAAAGGTATGTCTGAAGTAAGAGAGTCAAAGTCATGCCATCTTTGCTTTTAAGGAGTACTCCCATTATGTTTCTTCTAAGACTGATTTTGCTCTTTTGGCAATATTCTTCCTCAGTACAACCTTGATTCTAATCTTTTCAAATCTCTGTCCTCACTGTCCTGCCCCCACTTTCTCTCTTTGTAGAATTCATCATACATAAAGTAAGCAACCAAACCCTTTGCTGTTGGATTGATCCTGACTCCTAAGGACCCTAAAAGGCAGAAGAGAACTGCTCCTTAGGGTTTCTCAGGCTGTAGTCTTTTTTTTTTATTATTATTAATGTTTTATTGTGAATTCTGTGATAGTTTACATGGGAGAACATTAGTTTTACATTCATCCTATTGTATATCATTTCATTGCCATGGTTACAATCCCCTCCATGCATCATCAACCAACCAAAGGGTACACCCTGCAAACCTGTCCCTCTCTGGGCACACAGCCTCTCTCCCTCTCTGGATATAAAGTCTCCAGCTGCTCCATCTCTCCACCTCATTGTCTCTGCCTCCATCTCAGGCATCACTGCTTCTCTGGGTAGGGTCCCACTCTCCACTCTTCTCCCTTGATGGTCCCAGGGACCTCCGCCCCTAGAATGAAAAGTTAATCACTCCCCTCCTTACTATAAAATGTCTACCTTTACATTTCCAACCCTCACAATCAGTCCTGATAACAATTATTCACGATTGTATCACAAGAGACTGATCTGCATTTCATTTCATCAGTCCCGCCTAGACTGATTGGATACTACTCAGTAGAGATTCTCCCTTCTTCTACACCCTCTGGATCTAGGTTCCCTCTTGAAAGTTTGTATGCCAGTAACTTCTTGTCAGGCTGTAGTGTTTTATGGAAGGAGACTGCCACATCTTTCTCCCATGGAACAGCTGGTTGGTTCTATCTGCGGACCTTTCAGTTGGCAACTGAGTGCTTAACCACCGTGTCACCAGGGCTCCTTAAACTAAGCAGTGATGTTGTTATTGTTAAGTGCCTTTGAGTCCGTTCCAACTCATAGCAAACCTGTATACGATTGCCAAGGAGCAGTAGGTGAATTTCATTTGTAATGTATTTTAATTCCAAAAAAGATTTAACACAAACAATGACAGCAATGCTTGGTGAGAAGTTATGGGGCCCTGTGGCTTCCAGAAAAAAACAACAGAAGACAATGCATATTGGAGAAGATAGTCATCTCTCTACATGTTTCAGTGCCCATGTCCTTTACGGCCTCCCACTTGCATCTACTCAGAGTTCCAGCAGGTCACTGGGCTCAGTGCTTACCAGGGGAACGTGGTCCATGTTTGGCTCTGACCCCAGGATGGGACACAGAGAAAATAGGCTGGGAGCAACACATCCCTCACCATGTTGCCTTTTTCTCCTTCCAGAGACTCTGACCTGTTTTTGTTGGACACCCGAGTCGTGTGGGCCTCAGAGGAAGGCTGGCTGGAATTTGACATCACGGCCACAAGCAATCTGTGGGTCGTGACCCCACAGCACAACATGGGCCTTCAGCTGAGTGTGGTGACGAGAGATGGTGAGTTCTGAGTCAGAGCCTCCTACAGTGGGGCAGAGACTCGTTTTCATTCATTTCAATAGTTATCCCTAGATCCAGGATGACTTTTCTGACTATTCCCTATCACTGCTATTGAAAAACGAAACGTTCCCTTGAGGTCTGCCATGGCCAAACAACATCCACCAGGAAGGTTGGTTGTTGTTGTTGTTGTTGTTGTTAAGTGCCATAGAGTTGGTGCTGACTCATAGTGACCTTGTATAGGGCTTCCAAGGAGCACCTGATGGGTTTGAACTACTGACCTTGTGATTAGCAGTCCAGTGCTTATCCTACAGCACCACACCAGAACTCCAGGAAGGTTGATCAGGGTTCCAAAAGTTACTATAGAAGGGCAGCTTTCAGATGGGAGGATGTTGAGAGCCAGATGTGAGTGAAGGACATAGGCTTAACTGGGGCCCCTTCTGCTGAAACATCAAAGCTCTGCAGCTGCAGCTGCCAGTTCCTGCCTGGGCTCAGACTGTACCAACACGGCTGCTACAGTACCCACTGACTTGGAAGCTCACGTGTCAGAGAGAAGGAGGCCTATGCATGCATCAGAATATCTGAAATGGGACACCCAAGAGTGCAAACTGCTCCTTTATTTGATTCCCCTAACTTTGGGAAGTGTGTTTGACTTTTGTGCAACCCAAAGAAGCTATCAGGATTCTCTTCCTCAATTCTCATTCTTGAGTAGCATCTGGAAGCCAAAAAGGACCCCTTATCTGTTCAGACAACTAAATCAGGGTGTAATTTGATTTGCATTCAAGGTCTCAGCATCAGCCCTCGAGCAGCTGGTCTGGTGGGCAGAGATGGCCCATACGACAAGCAGCCTTTCATGGTAGCCTTCTTCAAAGTGAGTGAGGTCCACGTCCGTGCCACACGGTCAGCCTCCAGTCGGCGCCGACAGCAGAGTCGCAACCGTTCCACTCAATCCCAGGACGTGTCCCGGGTCTCCAGTGCCTCAGGTAGGTTCCAAGGCACCTGTTTCTCCAGGAAGCCTTGTTGGCTTTTGGCCTTCATAGAACCAGTGACATGCTGACGATTGCAAGTTTTGACCAGCTTCTGCACAGCAAATACAAAGGCCTGTATGTCTAGTACAGAGTCCTTGGGTAGAAATGGTTAATGCACTGAAAGTTAGAGAGTTGAGTCCACCCAGGGGTACCTTAGAAGAAACGCTGTTGATCTACTCCCCAAATTCAGCCATTGAAATCTCTGTGTTGCACAGTTGTGCTCTGACACACGTGTGGTCACTGTTAACCAAAATTAACTGGAATCAATGCCTCAGTACAGTGTTTATCCAGACATGTCCCCAAGACCATCAGAGCTGAACATCTATTACCTGAAGCCCAAGTCTGCAGGCTGCAGATACTGAGAGTGTCTACGTGCGCAGAAAAGTTTTTGCTTCGATGTTTGATTCGATTTCTCCATTTCTTTTTCCATTCATATAAAGATCCTCAAAGCACCTAGATAGTTCTTCTGGCTACATTATGCCTGGGAGATTGTGATATAGAAACAAACTTTGTGGATTTGTGTAGGATAGACTTGCATCTGTCTGTAGCCCGTGGGTGAAGTGATGGAAAGTCTGTTCAAACAAACTTTTGTGGTCAATGTTACTGGCTCACCTACCTGGAAAGTTTAAGGGTTCCAGCTTTCAGTGTGGCTAGGTCCAGGGGCGCAGGTGATATTAACAGTCTCTTTCTGATTACCATGTGCTGGTTACAGCTGCATGCTGGTAAGGAAGGCAGTAGGTTGTTCCAGGATTTTATCACACTTACAACCTTAGAAGGAGACCACTTCTTTTGTGGTGGTTGTTGTTGTTGTTAGGTGCCATTGACTTGGTAACAACTCATAGCGACCCTTATGCACAGCAGAATGAAACACTGCCCGGTCCTGAGCCAACCTCACTACTGTTGCCACACTTGAGTCTGTCGATGCTGCCACTTGGCCAATGCATCTTGTTGGGGATCTTTTGTGGTAGCCTTGGAAAAAAAGCCAAGAGATGATTCTGGGTATCTTGGCTTAGATGAAGTGCCCATCCTGAAGCTCATTGTGAAGGGGAAAATACTCTGTTTAGCCAGGCCTATGTATATGCTTACCCCTGGAGCCAGGGAGTAGAATCAGCCCCATTCTACATGAACAGTCTTTGGAAAGGTGGTTCCACAAAGGAAAACAGACATTTGGTTATCAAAGAAGATGGAAATGCTCAAGGCAAGCAAGAACAAAATACATTCACTAAACCAATGAATACTATCAAATGTCCGCTTATGCCTGGATTATCTGTACACGTCATTATCTTTAGATACATTCGGGTTTGATTGATAAAAATAATAGATGAAGTCACAGTGGCTTACCCTGTGTTTTCTAGAACAGAAGAGACTGTATGGGAATATGTTCTGCTGTTTAAGGGGGGCCAGTTTTGGAGAGCCACTGTTTATGATTGACAGTTACCATTTGAACATGTGCTGTGTATTGGAGACTATTGTGTTATTGTTGTTAAGTGCCACTGAGTTGATTTCTACCTACAGTAACCCTCTATAGGGATTCTGAGGAGTAGCTATCGGGTTTGACCTGTGTATCTTGCAATTAGCAATCCAATGCTTATCTTACAGAGCCACACCAGGACTCTATTGGAGATTATACCAGGTGTCTAATCCCACTAAAACCTACAAATTCTAACTCCTTTTAATAAATGAAAAAAATTAGGAAAATTGGGATAGCATAGCTAATTATCCCTGTTGTTGTTGTTGTTAGGTGCCATCGACTCAGTATCGACTCATAGTGACCCTGTGCACAACTGAACGAAACACTGCCCGGTCCTAGGCCAACCTCACAATTGTTGACACGTTTGAGCCCATTGATGCTGCCACTTTGCCAATCCATCTCACTGGGGGTCTTTCCCTTTATCTCTGACCCTCCACCTTACCAAACATGATATCCTTCTCCAGAAACTAGTCCCTCCTGACAATATGTGCGAAGTATGAGAGATGAAGTTTGTCTATCCTGGCCTTCAAGGAACACTCTGGTTGCACTTCTTCCAACATCTGTTTGTTCTTTGGGCAGCCCATGGTACTTACAGTATTCTCCTCCTAAAATATCATGGCTTGGGTCAGGAGCAACTTAATCTGAAAGTTGACATCTTTGCTCTTCAACACTTTAAAAAGGTCTTGTGTAGCAGATTTGCCTAATGTAATATGGCATTTGATTTCCTGACTCCTGCTCCCATGAGTGTTGATGGTTGATCCAAGAAGAATGAAGTCCTTGACAACTTCAGTCTTTTCTCCATTGATAAGAATATTGTTTATTGGTC